AGCAGAAATACAGTGTTTCCCTCTTCTTGGTAAGGACATACTAGCTCTGGTGGGCAGAGAGCTGCAGCTGGGCCTGGCGCCTCTAATGTCCTGTGGTTCAATGTCCAGCTCACACACGCACCATGACCTGGAGCACATACCAGTCTTGCTTCAAAGCCAAGTTGCTTAGTTCTTCTCTCCTGTGACTTCCCATGTCCCCTAAAAGAGATTTCCCCCTGCTTCCCTTTATTTAAAAGATAAGCTGAACTTGAAGAGGAATTATGGGATATGTTATCATTTTAGTATTCTGTGCATTATACTGACTGTCATACTCAGCAAGTAGTAGGTGCTGAGTAAATACTTGTGGATGGGCCAGTGGGAAAAGGGAGGCTTTCTGGACCATGGGTCCAAGTGGGCTTAGAAGTGAGCAAGTAGCCACAGGGTTCTGTTGAAGAGCATAGCAGAGTACCTCCAAGACACCCAGGAATTCAGTACCACTCCTTAAACATGATGGTCTTTTATTCTTCATCGTATTACTGATATTATCTCATCAATAAATTAACACAGGCTTTTGTTATCTACTTTTGTTCTTAGCTTGTTTGCTGCTTGCCCTAACAAGTTCTGCAACCCCACAACTAAAATCACAAGGCACTCCTTTCTTTACCACTGCATCTCTAACTAAATAGTCAGGACAGTGTCAGGGAGAAAGAGTGATTTAGAGTCAGACAAATTTCAGTGGCCTGCGTATTTCCTGTCTTTCTAGTCCTTGATTGGGTTTTAGAGAAACCTAGTCAAATGCCAGCTAGAAGAATTATTGTTTCCTGCTAAAGAAATATCGATGTGGAAAATCTTTTCAAGCATGGATAACACCTGCCAAGACGTTGGAAGGAAAGATCTATTTGTTTCATACACCCGTTGTACTGTTTAATCATTTTAATAAAATACCTGAGATAATCAATTTATAAAGAGAAAAGGTGTAGCTTGGCTCACGGTTTTCAAGGGCCTGGTCTAGGCTCCAAATCAGGGATGCACATTTCAGTGGGAGCAGCAAAACCATTTCCCTCCTCACCCAGGAAACAAAAGAGAAAGAAGCAGGGGCCTGGGCCCTTCAGTCAGTGTGGAGGAATGCCCGCCCCTCAATGACAGATGTCCCTCCTACTAAGTCCCACCTCCTATAGTTTTTATTGCATCCCATTTATAGCACCTGGGCAAAAAATCCTCTAACACGAGTCACCTTGGAGGACACTTGCCCCAACCAAAGCACATGTTAAAGGAAAGCGAGGTCAGAGGAGGAAAAAGTTAGGGCTGTATTTGAAAGCAACTGAAGGCTTCAGTTTGAAATTGAACAGTGAGGCAAAATACAAACTAGAGGTGAAGCAATTCTTTCAGTTCCTATAAAGTCCACGTTTGCCTGATAAAGTAGCTGGGATATGAGGCCTATGTGGTCATTTTACTGGCTGAGGAAAATCCAGCCAATCCAGCCTGAAATACAGCTCCTAACAAGTCTGTGTGGGGATCAGGATGTGGCCTTTCCATTCTCTCACTAGCTATTTTGGGTTATTTTTTTTTCTGAAGGCAGACGTAATTGTTAAATTTACAGATGTTACTTTTAGTTTTTCACATCTCGTAAGCTTGTTTTTATTTAAAGAAAACAAGTTTAATTAAATAAACACACATATTTTCTTGCAAGGGACCTTTTGTCCTGATTGAAATGCTTTGGTTTTAGGGGAAAATGTTTACCTTTAATGTTTTTCAGAGTTCATGGTCCAAACCTATAAGACAAGGAACTTGCCTCCGTTCTAGGACTATGAAAATTAGCTGCACTACATTTAGAAGAAAACAGAGTGCCAAGGAACCGTGTCAGAGCCCAAGCAAAGATGTGGGTTTGTGGGCAGGGTTGAGTTCTCCAAAGGCTTGACACCAAGATGCACAGTGGGTAAAGATTTACCCCCGTCAGGTACGGTGGGACTGATGTGCCCTTTAGGAGGTGGGGCTTCATGGGAGGAAGTTAGGTCAGAGGAGCTCTTGAAGTAGGCTGTGGGACTCCGGTTTCTTCTCATCTCTCTGTCTTGCTTTTCAGCCACCATCAAGTGAGCAGCCTCCTACCCCATGTTTTTTGTCACAGCCAAAGTGGAGAGAGTGCTGGTCATAGGATGGCACCTCTGAACCAAATGAGACAAAATAAGCCTGTGCCTTAAGTTGACTGTCTCAGGGATTTTGTTACAGTGACAGAAAGCTAACACAACTGGTGACCTCTTGTTACATCTCAGGGCATCTCTACAAGGCAGCTCTTATGGTTGAACTAAACAGTGAGAAAGTTGGGGCTTAGAGGAGATAAGTTAATCACCTGTGAGCAGCTGAGGGAAATAATTTAAAGGCCAGGCTGATTCTAGCATCTTTTCTTTTCTTTTCTTTTCTTTTCTTCTTTGTTCATCTTTTTCTAATTCCCCCAGTTTCCTTTTAGGGATGTGTGTGCTTTGATTCTCCCGTGACTGGTCCATGTGCAGGGGTAGGCTATGTGACTTGGGTTAAGCCAATTAGGGCAGGGCCAAAGTGATTGGTCAATAGTGGTCATGTGACCCCAACCATTCAGTCAAAATGAATGACAGGGCTTTGAGATAAGAGTGTGCCTTGTAAGCAGCTCGCATCAATCCATGTACACAGGGGCTGGGGAGATGGCTCAGTAGAATAAGCACTTCCCTGGCAAGTGCAAGGGCCTGAGTTCAATCCCCAGTTCCACCAAAAAAAAAAAAAAAAAAAATCCATATACACATAAAGAAATACTACTCGGCTATAAAGATGTGAGATGTTAGTAGGAAAGTGATACATCTGGAAAAGATCATGCTGAGTGAAATAAACCAGGCACACAAGCTTGACTATCATGTGGTATCTCTCATTTGAGTAATACAAGCTACAACAAAGAGAATGATGAAAAATGGATAGAAAACAAGAGTCTAGAGCTCTTGCAAATAGAAAGAGGTCTAGGAGACCAAGGGTGAGAGGGAGGAGAAGAGGAGGAGCAGTAAGTGGAATAAGGAAATGTCACATGTAGGAATCTAATAGCCTTAATAAATGTAAATATTATGTACTATAAATATAAGCTAAGAATAATAATAACAAAACTGAAAATGGATGAGGATTTGGAGGTAGAGGGAGTATTAGTGGAAAGGGGACTAAGAAAGGAAACAAGCTGTGTTCTACCCGTACCCGCCCCCAAGATGACTGTGGGCAGCATGTACTGCGCATACATAGTCATAAAGAAACTGAAGAAAGTGTGTCTTTTCCTAGTATCTTGGGTAGTGTGTGTGTAAGGGCTACCACTGATGAAATGATTCGCTATCATAGGAAAGCTGCCGAGGGAGAAGCTGTATTCAGGGAGGCCTGGGCTGAAAGGACTGCAGGGAGATGCAGGTGAATCCTGGCTGGTACCTGAGTCACCTCAGGGCTCAACAGTTCCATTGGCCACCATTGTCCCCATATATTCAGTTCAGACTGAGTTGACTTCTCTGTCACTCTAAGGCACATGACCACTCTTGCAGAGGGCTGTTTGGTATTCTGCCCAGACCACTGTCCAACAGAGCTTCTGGTGGGTCCTGGAACAGTCCTTCAAAACATAGGAGAAAGGATCTGGGCAGAGAGGTTGAGCTTTTTATCAAAATATAAAGCCAACCTGGCAGACACCAAGTTGATTGCAGTTGGCTGATTTTCATGAGCACCCACCGGTTCTCAGGCACTGCGTAATTCTCAACCACACTGGCTTTTTTGCTTTTGCTTCCTGAAAGTCTGCTGTGTATATATTTTTGCAGTTTCTAGTGGTGATTTTTGAAGCAGTAGCAAATTCTTTTTATTAGAAGAAAAATAAGTCTGCGTCCTTTGATGGCTTAAGAGGGGCCTCTCCATTCCTACGTCTCCACTTGGAGGTGGTTTGTGGGGTCCAATCCCCCTTCATGTCTCTAGAAGCGCCAAATCTATGCTGGGTGTTACTAATTGTGTTCTGCTAGGGTGCTAAATAATGATAAGGGCTCTGGTCATTTCTTTTGCCAGGGCTGATTGTGTTTTAGCAGCGTATTTCCTACACGCTGAAAAATGTTCTGTTTACAGAAGTGAAACTGGTGCGGAAGATAAAAGCCCATGACAGGATATTAAAAAAAAGACATCTTGGGGGGCAGAGAAAGTATTTGTGTCCTTAGTGAAATTCTCAGGTACTGGTGTAGTCTTTTAAGTATGCCAACCACCATACTTCTATATGGAAATTCTGGTTTTACCTAAACTTATAGCATCTGAATTTCAAGTTCAAGAGAAGGGCAAGGAGGAAGGGAACAGTTGTTCCACGTGTGTGCTCAGAGGGCTGAACAGCTGTGCTGAGCTGGGATGTGTGGTGTGTGGGACACACAGTCTCCTTGGGGCCTTTCCCAGCTGCAGGAGGAGTGAGGCAATTGTCTCAAGCTGGATCAAGGGCCCAGTGTCAAAGGCTGAAGCAGCGGGATGGTTGGCAGCAGTCCGGGCAGAATACCAAAGAGCCCTCTAGGACAGAGTGGTCGTATCCGTCACAGCGCCGTTTCCCTACAAAGGATACAGGTCAGACACTAGGCATGCGATCACAGTGCAGCTGACGTTTGCCAAGCGCAGTCAGCCCCGCACACCAAGGGCTTAACATCCCCAGACTCGACCCAAAAGGCAGCTTCCCGAACTGAGATCCTAAATCTAATTTTTCTCTTTATAAATTGATTGTTGCAGGTGTTCTTAAAAAATAGTGTCAAAAAACTGAGTAACACAGAGAATGAGGTGGCGTACGGGTCTTGACAGTGAGGCCAGCGTCTCTGCTTCCTGCTTCGAGGGCAGAGTGTGTCGGGGCTGCAGCGCGCACCTTCCCAGCATGGAGTCCAGACAGGCGTTCCCCTCCTGGGTTCCTCAGACCTGCTTGCGCTCTGCCCGAGGCCAATACTCACGTCTGGGGAAAATGATTTTAGCCACAATAGTACATCGAGAGTCTGAAAAGGCCACGATACCAGCTGTGGGCCACATTCTTTATTCTGGTGCCTGAGAGAAAACACTTTTAAGGAGTTGAGAAAGAGGACACCCCATGAGAGATGACTCCCTAGGGGAGGAAAGACTCTCGAGGGGCTCAGTGACACCGAGAGGCTCCTGAGAAGCACAGAGCCCACAGAGTCTGGGAACCTCTGACTGGGGGTTGAAATTAGCAGCCGCACTTGCTGGGGGGCTTCTGTGTAGAAATCTTCTCTGTCATCGGCTGGTTCTCCTTCCCAAGTGGGTTGGATCCGTATCCATTAGCATTGCCGTGAGTCTGTAGACCAAGGTCAGGAGCAGATGACAGTAGCATTGGCACAAGCCACAGTGGCACGTTTTTCATTATACAGTTCCAGCAAAATCTGGTATTTTCCCTATAAAGGATACAGGTGAAATATTAGGCATAAGACTTAGTACAGTCGAGCACTAGACAAATAGTCAGCCCTACGTACCCAAAGGCTTAAACTCCACAGAGTTAGCCAACTGTGGATCAGAAGTCTTCCAAAAATGCGCCTGTCCTGAACCTACACAGACTTTTTTTTTTTTTGCTGCTGTCCTCTAACCAATATGGTGTGGCAATGACTGACACAGAATGTACATTGTATTGAGGTATTGTATGTCATCGAAAGACCATTTAAAGTATACAAGAGGTACTGCCCACTGGAGAAATGCGAATTGAAACAACACTGGGATACCATCTTACCCCAGAAAGAATGGCTATCATCAAGAAATCAAATATCAATAAACACCAGAGAAGCTTTGGGGGAAAAGGAGGCTTATACATCGTCAAGGGGATTGTAAACTAGTGCAGCCACCCTGGAAGCCAGTACGGAGATTCCTCAAAAACTAAAACTAGAAACTGTATCTGACCCAGCTGTTCCCCCTTGAGATACCTTCCTCAAGGAGTTAAAGATATCATATTATGGTGAGATGCATGCACACATTGCAGCTGTAGAACTCATAACAACTAATCTAGGAGGCAGGCTATATTCCATGAGGAGATGAGCTCATAAAGGAAACATGATATTTATATCCAATGGAGCGCTACTCTGCCACGAAGAAGGATAAACTTGAGTTATTTGTAAGAAAAAGGACGTGCCTTGGGACCCTAATGTGAAGTGAAATAAGTCAGGCACACAAACTTAAACGCCGCATGATTTCTCTATTATGAAAACCCCCAAAAATAAATGAACAAAATAAAAGGTAGGAAATAGGAAGTGGGCAGATAGATCTTTCACAAATGGGAAGACTAGAAAATGTAGGGGTAGGAAAAAAGAGGATGAAAGAAAGAACTGGAACCTGCTGCTCACAGGTGCCAACTCCTCACAAGGAAATGTAAACATTGTGCGGTAGAAGCCTGAAAAATGAAGTCCCCAGGGAGATGGGTACAGATCCCACACTGCCGTTTTATATCAGTGGCACGGGCATTGTGGGTTTTGGTATTTGAGGGGCCCTGGAACAAATCCCGCATGGATCCTGCGGGCTGCTCTTTATTGAGTACCACTGGGAGCTCAGTAGAGCAACACCATCAAACGCCTCGCCCGCAGGGCTTCTGGTCTTGTCAGGGGAGATGCACAGTCCTCATGGTAAACTCATGTGGGGCCGTGGGTGGGACTAATGCTGGCTGCAACTGTAAGTAAGGTGGTCAAGGAGATCTTGCTGGGAAGATGACATTTAGGCAAGGAGCTGAAGGGGGTGCAGACATCAATCAGGAAGCTACTGGGGCTGCAGGGAGAGGAGGGGGAGAGGAAGGCAGCTTGGGAGTCCACAAGAGGCTGGGTTCTTAGGGTTTCGTGTGACCCGTTGAGGCTGCTGGTTCAAGCCTGAAAGGGGTTGGAGTGTGAGTATCCCCAGCAGGGTCTGATCTGGTAAAAGGACCTCTCTGAAGACATGATGGAAAGAAGCTGCAGGGAGAGAGGATGCAGCTGAGAGCCTAGGGAGGAGGCAATGAGTCATGCAAGTGAGAGATGGAAGATTTGATGGAGACAGAGAGAGAGGGGGGGGGCTTGGACTCTGGGTAGAATTTGAAAGAAGAGCCTCTACGATGCCCTGAGGATGCCCACATGGATGATGGAAGGGAAAGAGATGGCCTGAAGCTCCTAGCCTGGGCAACGGGGAGTGATGAAGGGCCACTTGCTGAGGTGGAGCCGAGCCCTGGAGGAACAAAATCTGATAGCACAGACCCAAAACCCTCTATTGTCAAACCCAGGTTTCTCTTCAGATCATATAAATCTTTCACCTCTTACCAAAATGCTCTTTCAGAAAAAGCAGCACCATCTTTCAGATTCCTGCCTGGCAGCAGCAGCCCAGACAGGGATCCCTCACAGCTCTGGTCGGCATGTAATCGCTCAGAAGATGCCACGCCAGCCAGCCACCCCTGCTGAGGAACTGTTGGGAACCCCCCGGGCCGGCTCGCCTGCACCTTGCTGTGTGCCAAGGAAGCCTCCCAGCACCCTGCCGCAAAGGCGGTTGTGTCTGGACTCGCTGATCTGGAGAAGAAAAGACTCGGGTGGTATGGGGCCGTGGCACACCAAGAAGCAGCGAGACTGAAACAGAAGGCACAAGAGATGCTTCGCCTGTCTTTGAACTGCCCGTTACCCAAAGCAGGAAAGGAACTTAATCTACTCCAAAGCCAGAGGGAAAGGATAAATCAGGCCCCTGGGTAGACACTGTGTGAAAAGCTGTTCTTGCTAGCAGAGTATATTCTAGCAATTAACAAAAGCTCAGAAGGGAGCTGGCGTCTCAGCACTGAAGACTGCACCTGACAGCGCCGGGCTGTGCTCTGGATGGTGCCGTGGGGGTGAGCACTGGCTGCAGCAGAAGGGGCGAACCTTTTAGAGACAGAGTGCCCAAGCTGCAATCCCACACCATGTATTTGTTGCAAGTGCCAGTACTGCTACTAAACCTGAACACTGGGGTTTTAGTTTAGAAAAAAAAGAAACAAAAACCAGTTAGTCAGTGCTCGGCTGCTGGGGCAGCTTGGCTCACAGCTGACGGAGAGGGCTCTCTGGGTATTCACTGTGGCACCTGTGCCACAGGTTTGCCACCACCAGATTAGAGCAATTTAAGCATCATTCTCCTTGAGGACTCTGCATGTCAGTGGGCCAGATATCAAGCAGCTAGAGCATTAGGAGTAATGTTAGGAATTCTCCTGAAGCAGTGTCAGGGTTAGAGAGCTGTGAATTCAGTCAGTTCAGATTTGTATCTGCTTGTATTTTACCACCACCACCACGTCTATACCACCACCACCACCACCACCACCACCACCACCACCAC